CCCCGTACTTCTCCTCATGGATTGTGCTTTGCTCTCTAGGCTTATCTACAGAATCCGCTTCTCTCCGAAGCCAGCCATTCACAGTGAGGTTCTCCCTTCCTTCTGCAGCTCCCTTAGTGTGGGTGTGGGTGCTTCCATCACAGCACCCAGGACACAGATTATTGTATGCATCTTCACAGTGGGGACAGCGCTGATTCTCCGGGCACTGGGGATGGCATCTGGGTTACTAAATAGAATTCAAGGGTGTCATTTGTGCGACATAGCTCCTCAACATTTCCCATGGGCCCTGGCCTGGCAGTAGAGCAGGAACAAGACGGGCGAGGTAAGGCCCCTGTGCTCAGGAGCTCACAGCAGTAGGAAAGAGGGCGAGCAGTGACCTGTGTCCTGCTCTGCAAGGGGCCCACAGGGCTGTGTGGGGCACTTTGTCCTGCTGGGCAGAGTTGGGCAGGGCCATGAGGTGGAAGGGGGTGGGTGGGGCAGGAGATAGGAGGAGGTCTGGCTGGACTCTCAGAGGGGAATGGTGTGGCACCCAGGCTTGAGAGGTCTGTTTGCTTCACATCCTGGCTCCAAGGTTTGCTAGCCGGCCTGTTCCTACCCTTCCTTCTGCCCTCCTTCTGCCTTCCTTCTGTCTTCCTCTACCTGGTCCTAAAGTGGGTGTTGGCGGTTCACCGGTGACTGGGACAGACATGCAGCCTTTATCCCTTGGGGTCTGGAGTGAGACCCCCTTAAGCAGGGCTTTGGGCATGCCTGGAGCTGAGTGGCTCCCGAGGCATCCCTTGGAAATAAAGAGTTCGTTCTGGGCTTCCTCACAGTGAGAACTAGGAGTAGGCCAGGACACTGAGGCTGCTGGCCCCAAGACAGGTTGGTTTCCCCAGTGAGCCGACTGAACATAAGAGCTGGGTTGTAAGAGACAGGTTCCCCACCCAACATGTCAGCTTGCTATGAGCAGAACGTGCTGTCTTGCAGTGGGTGTGTCACAGGACAATTGTCCTGTCGCAGGACATTGTTTCACTTAACCTCACCTCAAACCGTTATTAAATCAGTCACGTGGCATATGGTCAATGCACATTATAAGCAAGGGAACGCGCTATTTGTCATACTAGAATGAGATTTGTGACGTGACCTCTCCATCACCACAAACTCCGTGCCGCCTGTGACTGAATAACCCTTCTATTTGGGGTGTTTTCTATAAATCCATGAGAAAGAAACGCTATTCAATGAATAGATTCATTCTCGAGGTTTCCGAAGTGTGCTTGCCCAGGACGGGCAGCAAGCTGGGGCACAGGGAGCGCGTGCTTTGTCAGACGGGCCGGAGTTGTAGTTCTCGCTGTTGGCCCACCAGCGGGGAGGCCTGGGGAGATGGGCTGCACCCTCCGCACCTCCATGTCTACCTCTGTAAAGTGGGGACAGCACCCTCCATCTTACTGAGTGTTGCGTGCCTCCTCTTTACAAGCTTCTCGCAGCAGAACATTCGTGTGATTATTAGATTCACTGTCCCCCTTTCTCCTGCTGGGCTGAGGACTCTGGGAGGAAGGTTGGGTCTGAGTTTGATCTCCAGTGTATGCTCAACAAATGGTAGGCCCTCCTCACTCATTCCCACCCCATCCCCTCCCCTCCCCTCCCCATCTGACTGCTGCCCATTGGACTCTTGCAGATTAAATGGGATTTGACTCGGTGAGAGCCAGATGTTGTATGCGCTGGTCCTGGTGGGGCTCCTGTTTGTTGTTTGTTCTGATGCAGGGAGTTGCCATCTCTTGGTGTTTTCTTGGAATTGCTCAAGTATGGCCTAGTGTAGACTGTAAGGACCTGAGTTCTGATTCTGAAGCCCTAACAGAGTCTCCAAGTTGGGATGCAGAAAATGCGTATACACGTTTCCCTGAGGCTCTGCCCTTGCTGGATATGGCACCAGAGTTCTCTGGTGCTGCTGTGGGGAGGCAGCACTTCAGGGGACCCAAGTGCACAGATGTTGAAGTGACTTGGAATCCCTGTTGAACCTGCCCCTAATCGTACCACCATTCATCTGGAAGAGGAGTAATGAAATGCCTAGTTTGTCTCAGAGGCAGTGTTTCAAACTGGTTCAGTCATGGCCAATGAAGCAAACTTGGAACAGACCTGAATTTGTAAAATGTGCATGTATCCGAAATGATAACCAGCACAGTAAAAAGGATGCATCAGAACCCTAGGATGGGAGACTTGTAAGAGACGTAGTGATTCTTTGCAGACGCCTGATGTGGGAGACTGTGCTCTGCAGACTACGGAGAGTGACACACATTCAGAGCATTGTGGTTGGCCGCCATAATTGCAGTGGGCACCGTTGGCTCTGACTATGCCGATCAAGAGATTTGGTTCTATGCAACATGCTCATGGCCCTTGTTTTGTAAGCCAAAGATTGTTTCCGGCGGGGCGTGGACCCATACATTTTCCCATGATGGTTATGATTTCAGTACACCCATATTTTACAAATTCAGATCAATTCTAGTATCACTTTATTGGCCAGGCTTGAACCAGAAAGAACTGGTTTGAAACCCTGTTCAGAGCAAACAGTACATCAAAGTCAGGGGAGCTCCTGGATTTCGCATGGATGGCCCAGGGTTCTGTAGGACAACCACCAAAACAGAACTTGGCAGCTGGGTTCACAGAGAGTCAAAGCACCTTCAACGGGGCAGTCGAGTGAGGTGAAAAAAGCCATGGGCCCAGCCCCACCTCATCCCTGTGTGACCTTGGGCATGTTACCTAACCTCTCTGAGTCTTCTAGGACCTACCTCCTAGGGTTGTGAGGATGAAATGAGAGAATTCAGGCATCTTAGGAAGCCCAGTGGGTGCTTAGGAAACCACTATGGGATGGAAAAATGGAGGGTGAGCTGCCTTAGATGCATCACTTGTGAGCTTATAGTGATGATGTATATTATATACTGGCTCCTCCTGGACCACGTACTCCCCATGTTGTTTGTCTGTTCCGTCAAGACTGCCTTTGTGGAGTAGTAAGGGCACAGTGAGCACCAGCACTCCGGCCGGTGCAGAGAAACCTGTGGCTGGGCAGCCCCGGGGGCCTTGAACTGGAGAAGCATAGGTGTAACGTCAGCTTTTCAGAATGCTCCCAGGAGCTCAGGGGCACCGCTGAACTTCCCTCCTGGCCCAAGATACACAGTTTTGGCTGTGGTCTGTGGCACGCACTGTGGCCAGACTTGGTGACAGGCAGGAGGGAAGGGGCTTGCCTGTCCCCCAGTCCTCTGGCAGCACTGAAGTGGCTCACTGAGGCTCTGGTGGGGAGGCTGACAGACAGACAAGTGGCGCCTGTGGGAATGGGAGGCTGCTCTTCCGACAAGGTTGATAACAGAGTGGCCCGAGGGCCTTCTGTCGGTGCCTCTGCACTTGTCCCTGGTGTGGACATTTAGGATCCAAACATGCTACAGGGGGTCTCCGCCCCAAGCCCCAGACAGAAAGCCCCCCTTGAGCTCTTGGAAGGCCCCCAGGGTAGGTGTTGGTACCAGCCATAGCAGCAGCTCTGCCAGGTACGAGGTCCTGAAAACTCCAGCTGGATGCACCCAGGACAGGGGGAGAGTTGGGTGTTGGAGTTCTGGTTGTGGTAGTTAACACGATCAGTGGTAGTGTTTTCTGAGGGCCCACCAGGCACTCTGCTAAAAGCCTCACTGTGGGTGCACCTTCTCGGAAGCAGCTGAGGGTTCAGAGTGGGCATTCTGAAACCCTGTCACCAGGTTCAAATCCCAGGACTGGCATCTAGTGGTCTTGGGCACGTCACTGAACCTCTGTGCCTCAGTTTCCTCCCCAGTAAGACAGGAGTGGATGACAGTACCGGTGTCAGAGGGTGGTTGTGAAGATTCCAGAGGGTCTGGCTGTTCCTATGCGAGGGCATGCTTCTGACCGATCTCACAGCTCAGGGAACGGGGGCTCAGAGGAGCTAAGTGTCCGGCCCGAGTTCCTGGCCTGGTCATGACTAGCACTAACATTTGAACCCGGCTCACCTGCACTCCCCTCTCTGCCTTGAGTTGGAAACAGTGCCACGTGGTAGACCTTTGGCAGCTTCGGAAGTGGCCATCTGAGCGTTCCTCCAAGCCCCAGTGAAAGGAGATCCTTCTCTGAGTAACCCGACTGGCCTCTGGGAGCTCTCGGAATCTCACAGCAGAGGCAACCGCCGACCCGTGACACACATCACATAAGGAGAAGGGAGGGATCAGAGAAGAGTTTTCTGTTTGGAAATGTTATCTAACGCTGAGTGCTTTCAAGGGACTTAGTATGTGAAGCTCTCGCTGGCCCCCCTGCTGGGGTACCAGAGAAGCCACGTCCTCCCCCCATTTCCCAGCCATGCCCCCACCCCCCCATTGGGGAACGAGGTACTGTCCAGTCCTAAGAAGGAGCAGGAACCCTCAGGGTACAGAGAGGAGGTCGGGGCAGCTCCTTGCCCCACATTGCAGTGGCAGACCCCTAGAGTGACATTGCCCCTCCCAGCACCCCCCACACAGCGGTGAGCAGAGGCTGCCCCGCTCTGCAGTGTCCCCCCCATACCCGACGGCGGCACTTGCTGCTTGTTGCCTCTCCAGGGTGCAGAGGAAGGTAGAGTTCCCAACCGGACTTCCAGCTACGCTGCCGCTGCCCCTGGCTCCATCACCCACTGCCCCGCAAGCACTCACCTACACACCAGCACACACACCCCTGCTGCCAAGCTGTGCCCAGGAACCTGCCTGCCGGTACCGCAAAGGCCCTTTGTCTGAAGAAAGGGAGGGAGGCTTCCTAATGAAACCCTTGAAATCCCAGCCCATGATCTCACATCCCCAAGGATCACCGCTGCCCAAGTGTCTGCGGGCTCTGCCCCTGGCAGATGTCTTATTTGGCTCAAGTGAGAGCAGGAGTGACCCCCTTTGGGGTTCAACGGCATACCATCCCCTACCCTACCCTCCCACTACAGCTGGAGGGGTCAGGGCTCTTGAACCCTGAGCCATGGGGCCAGCTGTTGTCGCTCATCCCCACCCCCTGTTCCTTACCTCTGCCCTCCTGCTTGGCTCCCAGAGCAGCTCCTCACATGCTTCACCTTGGCCGTCAGCCGGGCAGCCTTTCCCTGGCTGCCAGGAGGGGTCCCGAGTGAGTCGCAGGCCAGACCAGCCGGCCGCTGAGCAGCCCTGCCTGGCTGGCCTCTGCACACTGCCTCCACAGCAGAGCTCTGACTGGGCTGGGCAGGAGCTGGCCGAGGATCCCGCTGGCTCTGCTCACAGCCTGCCTTCCCTCCCAGTGGGGCCGGGTGGCTGCCTCAGTACCATGCCCTGCAGGTCCCGGGACTCGGGCAGTGCCTCTCAGGGCTGGGGCTCCATCGTGGGGCTGTGGGTAGCGGCAGCAGCCTCATTTGAACTCCTAACTCCTTTGTGGAGGCTTTACATGCTGCCGGAGGAAACTGTGAGCACAGCCTGACCCTGGTTGGCTGCAGGCACTTCTCTCCACCCACCAGTGCAAGAGGATCCCCCAGGCCCCAGAAAGGCTTCGGGCCTCCCCTCAGCCCCAGACAGAGGCGGGCCGCCCGGCTGGTGATGTCACACTAGCTCCAGCCCCAGCTGGCCCGGCCCCTCCCGCCCCAGCCTGGCTTTGGCGGCCTCACTGGCCCCCTCCTTCCTTGGCACAGACAGCCTGGACAACTTTGCTCTCTGGTCAGCTGGCTCCCCTGAGCCCCAACAGCTCCGGGTGCGCTCCCCTGCTCTGCAGAGAGCTTCCCCTTTGACTCAGGTAGTGGGTTTAGATCTGTTCCAGCTGGGACTCAGGTTCTCCCCCTTGATCGGTGCCTTACCTGTGCATTGTCCACAACAGCTCCAGGTGGGCAGGCAGCCCAGCCTAGCCTCGCCCTGCCCTGCCGCCCCCCTCTCGCCAGCAGCCACGGTGTCATTTTCAGAAACCCTCCCCGGCCCCCAGGGAGAGAGCCCGGGGTGTAGGCACAGAAGCTGGGGACAGCGGAAACCCCACAGGCTGGGGGTGGGGGGCATCATCTGCATTCCCACTCAAGGGCTTTGATTAAGTCCCTGGACATCCCTTTCAGGCATCTGTACATGGGCTCGTCTTGGCAATCTGCCTCCTAGGACAGGACTGTGTGAGGAGGGCACATTGCCTCCACAGGTGACCTCCCACTGGCTCTTCTAGGGACAAGTAATGGAACTCCCGAGTGTCCTCCGCAGGAACCTGCCCCATCAGTGGAACGCAGCCACGGTGTGAACAACCAAAGCAGGAAAGAAGCCTGGCGTGGGAGCCGCGGGGTCAACGTCCTATAGACATCATTGGCATGAGCAGCCTGGGATGCGGCATGGAGAAGGTGGGGACAGGCAGAGGAGCGGAGGAGGGACACAAGGGAGGCAAGCATGCTGCGGGAGCAGCGGCACACAGGTCGCTTCAGCCCCCTGCTTGCACAACAGCAAGAGTGAAAGTACTGGTGGTGACTCTTCGTTCCTTAATAGAACAAAACAAAAAATCCTGATGATGGTTGGTGACGGTGATGATATTTGGGTACAAACTGGGAGAAAAACTTTACCAGTCTTCTCCCTGCCCCTGGGCGCAGTGCGCCAGGTTTCTGATCTGTAGGATCATCTGTAGGCCCACGGTGCTCCTCCTCTCCTCCTGTACCTTCTCCTTCCTTCCTCCAGGGAGTGCTGACTGGGAGTCGACTGGAGTCAGTGTCTGGAAGCGAAAGCCCCTGTCCTCCCCGAGCTTGCGGTCGAGGTGGGAGTCACGGCCCAGGAGAAGTACACGGCCTGGGCCAGGCAGTTGGGGAAGGGCCCCTGAGAAAGTGGTGCCTCAGCTGAAACCTGACTCAGGCTTGAGAATCAGCAGGTGACAAGTTTAGAGAGAACAGTGTGCAACGACTCTGCTGTTATTGTTGGTGACATCACGTTAGTTCTGAATCATCCTCGCTACCCCATGTGACAGTGGAGTTGCCCCATAGGCTTTTCTTGGCTGCCATTTTTGTTTGTTTGCTTCTCATCTTTTCAACAGGTTTATTGGCACATGATTGATACATCTTACAATTGAATAGTTCAGTTGTTCAGTGACATCAAGGGGAATTGTACAATCTGCACCACATCCATCTTAGAGCACCCCCTCCCACTGTTAAATCGCCTTTAAAATGAGTTGTGCAGTCAAGATCAGTTCTGGTGCTCCCTCCTCCCTCCTCCCTTCATTATTTACTCCCCAAGCCCCCTTTCCCTCCCTATCACGCAACCCCGACATTCCCTAAAACACCTTGTATCTGTTACTGTCTTTACAGGATTAGGCTTTTTGCCAGGTCTTCATCCTGTGGAATCACTGGATAGGTTTGAACCTGCCACCATTTGGATTTGCAGCTGAACACTTAACCACTGCAAATCTAAGCCTCCTTATAAAGACTCAATAGCAGATTGTTTTGTTTTTCTCCCCCAAAGATGGTCCCAACAAGCCCTCAGCCCACAATGTGCCTTTGACACCCCTCCCTGTGTTTTCTTCTTCTGCATCTGAGTGGCTTTGTGACTTGCTTGTAACCAGTAAGATGCCGTGGAAGTGACACTGCATGACTTCCAGAAAAGGCATGTCGCCTCTGCCTTGTTCACTGGGGCGCTTGCTTTGGGAGTCCTGAATCGGGCTGGACCCAAGGTGTCCAGCTGTCCTGAAGTTGCCACGCAGAGGCCATGTGCAGGCAGGCGTCATAGCTGAGATCCAATGTCATCCCCCAGATACGCCAGGAAAGGTGCCTCCAGATGCTTCCAGCATGTGGCCATCAAGTCAGCCCCGCAGCTTCTCCAGGCTTGGTGGTGGTGGTGGTGCTTGTGGTGGTGGTGGTGGTGGTGTTTGAGGCTCCAGATAGCTTAGAGTAGAGTAGAGTAGAGCCAGTTTGCTGTTGGTCTGTGTATTCTTGACCACCAGAATCCATGAGTTGAATAAAATAGTTGTTTAGGCTGCTACGTTTTGGGTGGTAATTTGCTACATTGCAGAAATGACTGGAAAAGACCCTGAGGCAAGGGTGATTATAGAGAGTGGAGACAAGTGCCATTCGACTGCAGAGAGAAGGGCAGTGTGGCCGAAGATGAGGCCATGCTAGGAGGTGAGACTTTACCCTATGAAGACAGAATGTCTAAGAGCTAGCGACAAGGCATTTGGAGCTCATGGAAATGCTGAGAGCGGCAATTAGGGATGACAGGGGCGTTTGGTAAGCCCAACTTTCCAGCTCCCATCCCGCAGGAATTCTCAGGTTTTCTCACCCAGTGCACGCAGGGATAGCCCAAGAGCCTCTGTCACTGAAACAGTGACTTTTCACAGCTCATGGTTCCTGAGGTCCCCTCAGTGTGGGGAGACGGGATGAGCAGAGTGAGTTTGCCGCTGTCTTTCCCTTGTGCTGCCCCTTTGGTGCCCTTGCGCAGTCCAGTGGGAAGCTCCAGCTCAGAAATCAAATCCTAATCCCATCCTAATCCTACCGTTCCGTGGCTGCGAGCCTCCTTCCCCTCATCTGGAAAGTGGAAATAGCACAGGGACCCCTCCTAGGACTGCTGTGAGAATTCTGAGTGACTCGTAAGTGCTCAGTGCATGTTGGCTGTAGTGATTCCCATGGTCTCTTCACGGAGTGTTACTTGGCTGAGGACAAGGGCATGTGCGGACTCTGTAGGGTTCTCTTTTGACATAGCCCGCTGTTGTGGAGTGGGTGAAGAATTATGGCTGGGAGTCTGACAGACATCAGCTGAAGACCCATCCTGGCCACTAACCCCGCTCTGTCACTGTAGGCAACTCTATTATTCTCTGAGAAACTTGGTTTCCTCATTTTCAGATAAATAAATACTGCTCACTCCTTGGAGTTGATATGAGGATTGAGCACCTACTTAGCACGATGGTTGGCACTGAGCAGTCTCTCAAGAAGTGGCCCCTGCAGATGCTCCTGTTGCTCTTTCCTACCCCACCCCTACCTCCTCCCCACTCCTGCCCAGAGCAGTTTCATGGGGCTTGAACCTTGGCGCCTGCTGGCTCTTACAAACCTCTGACAGTGACCTTCTCAAGAGCCATCATTTTCACTGTTAAACAGAAGGATGATGAAACTAGAGTTCTGGGGGAAAAAGGGAACCCTCTTTGCCTTTTGCTCATTTGCTCATTTCTATCAGGATGTGAACTGCATGATGTTTAATTTACATGGGCAGAATACAAAGAATCTTAACATTCGTAGATAAATGAGCTCAAGTATTTTCATGTCTTGTCACCTCTTGAGAGTCACTTTTTTTTGTTCCTGTTTTTCAAGCGTTGGGATAGTCTGCTGAGATACTGTGTATGTGGTAGAAAGGTGTGTGTCTGTGATGATTGTATAATGTTATTGCAGAAGGTGTGCCTGGGAGGGAGAGGATTTACTATCTCTTGCGACCTCAAAAGTCCCATCAGCACTTAAAGCTTCATATGTTTCCAATAGACGACTTCTTTCAAGAACTCTTTATGGCTTTTGACTGTTTCCGACACCCATATTTTCATGAAACGTTTCCTTATCGTTGTTCCCCCGTACACAGTGAGGGTTTTCCCTCTGACTATTTCTAGGATTTTCACTCATCTGTGGTTGGCAGCCGTTGGGTCATGCTGCGATGAAGTGTGATGCTCATTGTATTTATGCAGCTTGGGATCCATTGAACTTTGGGGATTGTGGGTAGATGTTTTTCACCAAATTTAGAAATGTGGGAGAAACCTTTGGCAATTACTCCTTTAAATATTGGTTTTCTTCCCAGACATCCCTATCCCCTTTCTTAGAACTCCTTTTACATACTTGGTATTTATTGTCCCATAAGTCATTGAAACTTGCCTTATGTTTTTATAACTTTTTTTTCTCCATGTGTTTTAGCTTGGATAATTTCTTCTGACCTACTTTCAAGTTTCTTGGTCCTTTATTCTGCATTATCCAATCTACTTTAAATTTACCAAAAATACTTTTATGTCAGGTATTTTATTTCTCAGTTTTAGATTCTCCAGTTGTTTAATAATTTCATATCTCTTCTGAGACTGTATTCATTTATACATTCTCACCTTAATTTTCATGGAAATATTTCATTATCTTTTAATCTTATTTCTCCATGAACTTTTCAAAGTTCTTTTGTATTTAAAATAGTCATTTTAAAGTGCTTGTCTACAAATTCTGAATGATCAGTGGTCCTGGTTTTATTTACTGCTCTTTCTCTGACTGTAAGTCACATTGTCCTGCTTCCCATTTTTATCAAATATTGGACATTGTAGATGAAACTCTAGACGAATTCAGGCAAAACTCTGGATTTTATTTCCTCCTTCTACAACGCGTTGTGCTCCGTTAAATTACTGGCATATCCCTTTGGTACTATGAAGGTGTGCTTTCTAGACTTTGTCCAAGTTAAATTTGTTTATTTGTTTTCTCATAGTTCAGGGCATAATCCTTAGTCCTGGATTTATTTTTAAGACATGGCCTTT